TAAAAGTGTTCAGGTTTACCACAGTAAAGCAGATGTTCTGTCCTGCCATACACAGCCTATCATTGTGGTTCTTGCCACAGATAGCGCATTTCTTACCCTTTTGTTAGTGGCTTCCCTTTTTGCCTTCTTGTTATCCAATTGCCTTTTCCTCTTCTTGTTAGCACTAGAAGGGACTTTGCCCTAATCCTTCTTCTCTCTCTTAGGAGTTGGTTTAGTTATTAAGTAATGGTTCAAGCTATTCAGTAATTCAACAAGCTTCAACTACCTTATTGAACTCCTCAAATTGTTTGGGAGCTGTCATTTCTCTCAAGGACTACTTTAGTCCTCTGACCATTTTCTCAGCTGTCAATCTCTCATCCTCCTAGTAATGTTGGTAACTAGAGTAGTGAGAGAGGCAAATAAGCTTTGCCAAGTATTCATCAAATGGTTCCTTATCTTGCTGCTTAAGGGTCAAGAGCTTCACTTCCCTCTCATCCTTAACTGACCTTAGAAAATATTTCTCATAGAACTGCTTGAAAAATACCTCCCACATCACTCTGGTATGTCGAGCTTTGAGTATTAGCTCAGTGTTCTACCACTAGTGATTGGCATCCTTCTCAAGTTTATGGATCGCCATTTAGGCCTTCCATTTAGTTAGACAATCCAACACTTTAAAGATTTTCTATAAACGATTTATCCAATCTTCAGCTACCTAGACATCAAACACCCCATCAAATGAAGATGAATTGTGTTTGCAAAATTACATAATCCACTCTTGGATGCTATTAGGGTCTACTGTCGGTATTGTCGGTCTAGGTGGCTACTCAGGTTCTTGAATTGCTGGTACTTCCTCCTTTGGTTGCCTAATGTTTAGGTTAGTCATTGCCACTGCTACCGCTACAGCTATTGTGGTGTCCTTCTCTTGCTCCTTGCGAGCTTGAGTCGTCTTCATTTTCTCAATCATCCTTTGTTATTGTTCTAAGCAATCTAGGATTACTTGTAAAGGGTCTGGAGGAACCTTGCATTATTTCCTAAGGGTCTCTCCAGTGATGTGTCCCTTCTAGTTTTAACTATTTCAATACCTATTCTAAATTATAAGAAAGGAATAAGGAAGTAAACATCATACTTGGATTTTATTCATCAAACATCATTCATGCATCACACAAAGCAGTAAAGTTTTCATATTTATATGCTGATTAGTTCATACATATCATATATGCTTCAACCATCTAACCTATTAAGGTCAGCAGTACCCAAAATATTTCTATGTTAGCCTCCACGAGGATCCTTAACTGTCTACAAGAAATGGATAATAATAAAGTCTTTAAAGGTTTGAATCCAGTCCTCAACATTAGAACCAAGTATCTGATCTAATTGGAGTATCTCATGCAATAATCTAGGAGTGTCTAGAAGTATGTCTGTCATAGTCTGAAGCCAGTCCTTGGGGTCTAGATAAGGGTTGCCCTAACTATGGGCTTGGTACAATAGCTTCACATCCAATAGGTAATCCAAATAAGTGATCAAATCCTGATCTACACCCTTCCTGATATGGCAACCCAAGTATCTCATCCTCTCTCTCAGCTGATCGTGGTTACGGATCTCAGGCTCTGATGGAGCTGGAACAAGTGCTACTAGTACCGGGGGTACAGTTTGTAAAGTACTAGGGCTTGCTATGTCACTCGGATGGATACCTGGAGTAATAGGCTGACTGGGCCAAGGAAAGTCAAACCTATAGGCTCTTTCAGGGTCAAGCAAACTAGTCACCAAAGTACTAGGTCTGGGTAGGTTCACTAGCTCCTTCCAAGTATAGCCCGCATGGTGTACCCAATGCTTTGAGTACACACTAGAGCCTATTGACGAGTATCATGGGCTAACATCCCCTAATATCCACTTCATTAGGTCCTCCTCCTACTTTAGATCATCTAGATTAGGTATATCTCCTTGATTTACTGACAGCTCAGACTTAGAATCAAAATCCATAAGGTTTCCTGCAAAACTTACTAACATGTCAATTTCTCCTCAATTAACATATTAACTAATAGGCTAAACTAAGTAGAGTATTCTATCCTATGCCAGAACCTTTGCTTTGAAATAAAAAATATTACACCTTATTTCTATACTACCTTAGAGTCTATTTTATGTCAGTTCAAACCACTTTGGATGGCTATAGATTTAGAAAAAACGGATTTGGGATGTTACTACGTAGGTACTGTTCATTTGGTAAATCTAGAATTTCTATTCAACTTTGAAAATTTATAATTAATTCTAAAAAAATTGAAACAGAGTGATTTCAAGTCCTACTGAAAGCTCTTTAATTGATCTTTAAACAAAAAATAATCTTAGGAACCAATTTGGTGTGAAAAAGTGCCAGTTTGGTACGGAAGTTTCTACTATTCCATTAGTCAAAAACTTTTTCCACATTTCAAGCCATAACTTTGAAAAATCACCATAATTTGTACATATACCCAAATGGTACATTCTACCTATTAATTTGAAGCTTAACATGTGAACTATAATCATGACAAATTTAATAATTTAATACTAACAAAAGCTTAGTCAGATTATAGGCCCAAGATAACAGCTTAAATGATTACAGTATCCATGCATACATTTATTTACAATTGTCAAAAGTCAAGGGAGTTTCATAGATATACATCATTCTTTCAACATTTTCTTCTTCCTCCTGGATGGTTTAGCCCCTAGGAAAAATTAATTGCATTTGGAGGGAATGAGATTTCATTAAAATCCCAATAGCAAAATGAAATCAACCATAACATCAAACATGCACTATCATCAAGCATTTCAACATTTGCTATCATTAGGAAACTAATTCTTTCTCATACTTAAAACAATCTCTAACATGCAATAACCAAGGCATTCAATGTAAGGAGTAGCACCATAAACATTCATCATAGCTCAACCACATAATAGCAATAATCCATGCATCAACAATTAATGCAATATCAATATTAAAGTTAATTAAATCTTGCTACCTTGATCCAAGTGCTCTTTTGGTCTTTGTTCTTGCTCTTTTCTAGCACAAATGTCAAATCCTAAATATCAGATTACAAAGAGGCAAACATGTTACAACTCAAACTACACAAGACTTATTGACAATACTTAACTAACCCTTAACTCTTAAATCCTTGAATTTTGGAGCTTTATTCCTTATAACCTAAAAACTATCCTTTTAGGTCAATCTTACATAATTTTTCATGTAGAATTCAAATATGAGCTTGGATTCATGAAAAGAAAATTCCTTCCCTTTCAAACAGTGTTAGCCAAATGGCATGATACAAGGTCCTAAATTCCTAACTTTAATTCCAATGTTTCCAAAGCTTGTTCTTTAGGTTTACCTTATACCACTTTCCATTTTAAACCCAATGGAAGCATCAAAACTCACAAAATCACATCCTAGGACATAAATTCCATATCATGCAATCTTTCAAATTTCAACACAATACCACTAGAAATAAGCCATAACCAACGTCTTTAACCTAGGTTCAACATCAAAATCATCCTCTCCTATTTCTAATAAATTTTGGCCAGCACCTCCCCTTAAGGGAATCAATATTTTTCAACCACCAAACCTAGGAATACAAAGCATAATACAACGTAGAACGTCAAACAAAACTTATATCGAAGCTTATGTGATCAAAGTAGATAGTTCTCCTTGATTGCAGTTCAAGAAAGAAATTGGCAAGAGTTCCCCCTAATTGGCCAAAAATGAGTGATTGTGAGGGAGGGAGATGGCTATTTATAAGCCAAACCTCAATTGTTTGCCATCCAAGATTACTTTAATTACAACAATTAGGTGTCAACTCCCTAATCAATCTTGCACCAATTTCTAATCTTAAAATAAATCCAATTGAAATTGATTTTTCAAAGTCAAAATCCTCTCCATACTTGGCTTGACAAGCGGCATCTTAATCGTCTCCATTCATAGCTTGACAAGAGGCAAAATGTGGGCTAAGTAAAATTCAAGTTCTTTTCACTTTATCAGTACATTTTGCATTGAAATTAATTTCTATTTCACAATTACAGTATCCTAGCCACTTTAATTATTTTTTGTCAGGTTCATAATACATTCTTACCATTTTTCTCTTCCCAAAATGCTCTCCTTTGTTACCATCATAATTTTCTATCAATGGTAAAGAAAGAAAATTATTTTAATTTTTATAATGATTTATTTATGCGGGAAGACATCTCTAGAATTTTTGAACATTTATGGGGCTTCTTTCTGCTTCATAATCTCTTATAATTCCCAAGGATACACTATGAATTTTTTGATATTTAATTATCCTTAAAAGTATTTATTTGAAATTTTCCAAATAAAAGTCGCAATTTGGCTTAATTAGCCCTTAAATTTCTTTATAATTTTTAAGGCTAATTTGGGAATAAAACTACTTATATACTGTTATATAATTCTCAATGCACAATATCCCTATTTTCCTCAATTTTCTAAGGCTTAAAAATATTTTCAATACTTAATTTTTGACCAATTTTTCTTAATTAGTCAAACTTTCATAATGACTGGAAATTCAATAATAATTATTTCTCATCATAATTCTGACTTTTTGAGACTAACATACTGTCTAGGGGGCTTTTCCCTATTTTTCACAATTATTCAATAATTTTTGGAATTTCAATATATTTTCTAAAATTATATAAACTTGCCTGTAACTTTTGAAAATTATACTTTTGCCCTGACACTGTATTAAATTTAAGAGTTGTGTCATCTCATTTCTTCCTATGATTCAGGCCCTTAAGTGTCTAGGAACATTCTTTCTCTTATTTACCAAATTATTATATGTGACAATTGCCAACCTCCTACTCCATGTACATGGGGAGCATCTCTAACCCCAAATTGTTGATTATTTACAATCATCTTCTCTAATAGATCCCATGCACCTTGAGAGGTTAAGTCAATCAAAGAACCACCACCACCAATAGCATCAATGGTGGATTTTTGATGATCTAGCAACCTATCATAGAAATATTGAACCAAAAGTGGTTAGGAAATTTGGTGATGTGGGCATTTAGCAAGTAAAGCTATGAACCTTGTCCAATATTCATAGAGACTTTCTCTAATCCCTTGTTGAACACTACAAATTTCCTTTCTCATCCTAGCTATCCTTAAAGCTGGGAAATATATTTCTGAGAATTACTTCTTCAATTGCTCCCATGAGAGCGTTGCAAAATGTTGAGGCAACATGTATAGCCATTCCTTGGCCATGCCTTCCATAGAAAACAAGAAGGCTCTACTTAGAACGTCACCTAGGTGAGCTCCTAGAGGCTTCATGGAAGAACAGATCATGTGAAGGTTTTAGAGATGCCTATGTAGGTCCTCACCTGTATTGCTATGAAACTAAGGTAAGGCTCTTATCAAGGTTCCTTTTAATTCAAAATTAGCATTAAAATTGTAAAAGCCATAAGGATTATAATCAACATTAGAAGAATTCATTTCTCTTATGCTTTGATGCCTGACATTATTAGCCGTACTATTTTTAGCTTGTTATGTCACATCTAGTAATATGATAATTAGGAATAAGAATATTCCTGAAAATTTAAGAGCCAAAAGAAATAAGGAGAAATAGAATAATTATAGTGGAAAATAAGTAGTATGATTTTTCAAGTCAATTATGAAATGTTCGATTAATTAAGAAAAATTGGTCAAGAATAATTATGAAAAATATTTTCAAGTCTCAAAAAATTAAGAAAAAATAAGGACAATATTCCTTGAGAATTATATGAGATTATATAATTGGTTTTAAGGCCAAATTGCCTTTAGAGAAATTACAAAGGAATTTAAGGTTGATTTAGCCTAATTTAAAGCCTTTTATTTGAAAAATTCCAAATAAAAATTTGGAAGGAGAATAAAATTCCAAGAAAATTCCTATGATTCCCCAAAGAATTATGAGAGATTATGGAATTAAAAGGAGACCTTCGAATATACAAGATTAATTCCTTGAAAAATTGGAAAAATCGCTAAAGAGAAGGAAATTAGTTTTTCTTTTTATTTAATTATTTGGAATTGGAATTTGAGACAAAGAGGGAATTTTAGAAAAATAAAAATGAGGAGAATAAATTATGGATCTGATAGAAAATAATTACATATACTAGAGTACTGTAATTATACAAAAAAAATTAAACTCGGAGTAAAAGTGCACCAATAAAGTGAAAACTAGAGTCTTACACTTTACTTGGCTCATAAGTTGCCACTTGTTAAGCCCCTATTAGAAAGTAATTAAAAATTTACAAGTGTCAAGCCTTGATTAGAGAGGATCTTGACTTTTGAGATTAATTTCATTTGATATTAAGTTAATTAAGAGAGAAGTTTCAAGACTCAATAGGCAAGTGACACTTGGCCTACTATTAATGTGGATGATTGAGATATTTGTTTAGCATTAATAGGAGCTCATCCTCCTCCTTCTCAAGACTCCATTTTCGGCCAAGAAGGAAAATGAGAGAGCAAGAGTGATCTTTGAGTGAGTTCAAGGAGAAAGCAAGCAACTTGGATCAAGAAAGCCTGGAGTTAAGGTTAGTAGTTGATATTATTTTGTTCCTTGCTTGATTCTCTTGAGTTTGATGGTTGAAAAATTTCATTCTTGCCTCTTGATGGTATTGGGCGAATTGGTTAATGTTAGGGGAGGAAAGTTTTGAAGTTAGACATAGTTAGAACACTATGATTTAAGGTGGTTACAAGTGGTTTGGTGTTGTTTTGAAAAGATTTCATGGCTGAACTTTAAGGGGGTATGGTTTGGCCAAGATGAGAACCCTAACCTAGGATGATTTTTTCAATATTTTGATGCTTTCATGGTGTTCAAAATAGAAAATGGTGTAGGATAAACCTAAAGAAAAAGTATTAGAGGCATTAAAATCAAAGTTGTGATTTTTAGAAAAGATATACCCCCTATTCGGCCCACTTGGTTCTTGAGGAAGGAATTTTCTTTTCTTAGATCCAAACCCATATTTGGATTCTACATGAAAAATCATGTAGGAAGGAACCAAGAAAGAATTTTTTGGGCTTAAGGAAACAAAACTCAAAAATTAAAGATCAAAGGTTAAAGCTTTAAAAAGGCAAGGGTTTAATTGAGTTTTGTTATTGATTTTTGATATGGTTTGGTTGGTAATGTTGCTGCCCCTTTTATGGTTTGTGATGTTAGGGTTTGTTAATTGTGGAGAAGAGGAAGAAGGTCAAAGAATCAAGAGCATTTGGATTAAGGTAGTGGGATTTAATTAGCCATTAATGTTAACTTTGCATTGTTATTTATGGCATGAATGCTTGCTATTATATGGTTGAACTATGATATTTGTGATATGGTTGCTCCTTGCATTTTGTTCCCATGGCCTTGAATGTTGAGGTTGCCTATTATAAAAAGATTAGTTTTCCTATGATTGCTAATGTTAAAGTGCTTTATAATGATGCGTGTTGATGTTTTGGTTGATTGATCTTGCTACTAGGATTTCATTAAAATCTCATCCCCCATATGTAACCTAACATTTTAGGGCTGAATCACAAAAAGGGAAGCTGCAAATTCAAGGGTAATTGTGGTGGTGATCCATGAGGAAACAATTATATTTTGGTTATGTAAATGTATGATGATAGGATGCTGTAACCCCAAACAGGATGCCAACTTGGAGCTACGTTTTTACTAAGTTACTGAACGCATTAAATCACAAAATTTGGTGTTAATGTAGATCACATTCTAAGCTATCACATTAAAAATAATGATTTTTTAAAGTTAAGGTCCAGAATCTGGAAAAAGAGTTTTTATCAAAAGGACAGGGGTGATTTCCACAAAAACCTGACACTTTCTCAAATGGAATTGGTTCACAAGTCTATTTTTCTTTGAAAGAGTATTCAAAGATCTTTTCATAAAATTTTGAACCATTCCATTTTGATTTTTTTAGATTAAGTTATGATTTTTTCAAGTTAGACCAGAAAACTGAATTTTTACCACATGAATAGTAAAAATCTAAAAATCAGCATTTTTTGGATATTTTTGAGTCCAAGACCATCCAATATGGTCTAGAATGCCTCGGAATAAATTCTAAACCATATTAGAAGTAAGGTGTAACATGCTGCTCTTGCCCATTGTTATTAAGATTGGGTCTTTCCTCCTCTCTATGGACTTCAGTCACCCTAAGTGCTTCATTATCTTTAAGCATATTGTTTTGATCCATGACAAAATGATAGTCTATATAATTACTGAGTGAAGAATCAGATTCAGCAAATTTAGAAGGATCATAACAATATTCATAGTGCAATGAAAAGAGAGGTGTAAATGGTGTGGAATGTTCAAAATACAGACCATTAGTACCCTTAAGTAGCCTTTCTCTCTCAAGTGTCCTTAAGGTCTTGTTTATTTCAATATCAAGTGGCAAAAGTGTCTCTTTTCCAGATCTGGTCATATAAGAACTTGAACCACTTTAAGCAATCAAATACCCAACAAGTAACTTAACTTTAAGAATCAAGAATTTGAATGAATCAACCAAAGAATCAATAAATGTAAATCAAGAGCATATTAAGGTGCAATTAAACCCTTAAAAGAATGTTAAAGACCCAAAGAATGTATTGAAAAACAACACAGATCAAGTGCAGAAATTTTCTTTAGCAGAGTCGTGCACCGTCGTAAAGAGAAAAGTACGCCGCAGCGACTCTTGATAGAATCAACCTTCCTCCTATTCAGTGACAAGCACAATAGTGGATAGCAAATTACGTCATGGTGAAGTTGACAGCATCAAACTTCTGATACAGAACAAGCACTTCCCTTCAATCTTTTTTACTAAACCACTCCCTTAATCACCAAGATAAGTTTCAACAACAATTTTCCAGCACGTAAGTATTTAAAAACACCAATTAAACCAAAGTTCAAACTTTCCAAATGATTGAAATGACAACACTCTAAAATATTTATTTGAATTTCTAGAAATTTCTTAAACCAAAATCACAAGTAAAAGAAAATGCAACAACACAACCCAGTTAAAGTGATATTTGGACACACAATTGCCAAAGAGCTAGGCTTCCCAGCAATAGTGCCAAATTTGATGAGCCATGTCTCTTGACTATCAAATAAAACTAAGCTAAATGCAATATAGTGGCACTAACCTAGATGTTAAACTCTTGAGGAACCTATGAATGTCTTAGTAATCCAAGCACAATATCAAATTAACCAAGTAATATGTATGAAGTAATTATGCAGCAATGACTTTATCAAAGGCTAAAGTAAAACTATCTAAACTTTTTATGGTTTTTAGACTTAGTAAGTAGAGATAAATGCAGTGTATGGATTATCCTTGGTAGCCAAATCCACCAACCATCCTAGTTCCTCTTTTAATTGTGTTCTAAATCCTTTATTAAGCTTGGTTTGTGAGACCTTCTCTAAACAATGAATCCTATGAGTTAAAATCCTAACTCATCTGACTCATTTTAATGCTTAACATGAATTATACTCTGCAAGAGGTATTTTACTCTCTTAATCAACAATGTTAGAACCCAAACCGATTAATCAAGAGATTCAAATACTTGAGTTAAAAGAATCAATGTAACAAAAGGTAATACCAATCCAATCAATCAATTAAAGTGTAAAATACAATTCAAATCTCAATTTTTATGTAAATCAACCAAATTACATCTTAATACAATCACGAATCACAAATCTAAACCTTAGAAATTACAATTTATGAATGTATAGAGTGAAACTATGATTAAGGTAGAAGAAACTCCTAATATAGCTTTAGGAACTTAGATTAGCTTCATTGAACATCAAGGAATCATGATCTAGCCTCTCATGATTGAAATCATAGCTCCAACAAGGTCAGCAATCTTCGTGGCCATGGCAACAATGATCGAAGAAGGAATAGAGGAGAATAATCAGTAAAAAATGCAAGAAATTGGGTAGAAATGATGAATTCATGATAGAGAAGAGTGGAGAGGTGAAGAGAGATGAAGTTGAGAGGATCTGAATGGAGAGATCGATCAGAAAATAGAAAAATGATAGAGTGCTCATTCTGGAATTAAAATGCAAATTTTTGCTCTTTCGCCTTGGTGCTCCCTTGTGTTTGCTGTGGCGCTCGTAAAAATGACACCGTTTGGATTAGTGAATCTGCACTCTTTTATTAGGC